TGTGTGTGTGTATTAAACTCACTCAAGCAGAGGCTTAGCTAAACTGATCATTCCCTGGATCCTCTAGAACATCTTCATGCTCCACCTTCACCTCCATGCTACAAAAAGCAAATAAACCTTAAAACAATCTAGAGGCATTACTTACAATGGCATACTATCATATCTATAATTTCTGTTGAGGCCATCAATAACTTTCATGTCCTCTGCGGTCAATTCAAAATCAAACACCTAGTAAGAAAGGAAAGACAGATTCAGAAAAAATAAAAATAATAAATAAATAAAGCCGTTGAAGTGTCCCTCTCCATGGAAATATAAGGGTGATAGCAACAAGGGTGGTTTTAAGAGAAGAATTTTATTCACCATTGGGCTCCATATGGCCGGGACTCAGAACTTTTGGCTGAATATGGCAGGCTCCTCCTTTCCCATTTCTTTCCTATTTTGATCCACTTCACAAAAGAAAGACTGATCAACCCCTACTCTTAAGAAAGGCAGGACAAAAAAAGAGCTCCCGAATTAATTTTCAAATATAGATGAAATACTATAATTAGCCTCAACAAAATTTGTTGAACTTTTCTTTATTTGCTACCCTAGAGTTTGAGTCAGCTTTAAATAGAGCCCCTAAGTCCCAGAGCATAATCTAACTCCTCTCCAAGACTTTATTAAATTGAAGAAAATCTTCCCCTGAATACCACTTGATGATTTCAGGTTCTCAAACATTATCAGACATTATTCTTTTTATCAAAATAACTTACCTGGTATTATATATATGTTACATTTATTTATATTATGTAAATGTAAATATATCTCTATAATTATATATATCTATTAAAGGTATTTGTGATGGTTAAAGTTAATAGTCAACTTGACAGACTCTAGAACCATCAGTGAGATGCATCACAGGGCATGCCTGTATAGGATCACCTTGTTTATGCTAATTGATATGAGAAGACCCATCCTGATTGTGGGTAAGATCATTACCTGAGTAGGGAATCTTGGACTGCAAAAAGCAGAGAAGACTTGAGTATGCATTCAACTTTCCCTGCATTTGAATGTGGATGCAATGTGACCATCTTTCTCCATCTCCCACCACTATAATTTCTTCTGTGATAGTAGACTGTACCCTTGAAGTATGATTCAGAATAAACCCTTTCTTCCTAAAATTGCTTTTGCCAGGATATTTTATCACAACAATAGGAAGAGAAATCACGACACTGTCCTTCCATCTTTCTATCAGAAGTCCTTCTGAAATTCATTCTTTAAGTAAAATGGCTCCCATATTGCAGTGATAATTCATGCTTACACTTTGTTCCACCCTGAGGTGCAGTAGTAGAAGAACAGAAACAATTCCCACAAGTTATCCTCTGGCCACCCACTGTGTGCTGATGAGTGTGCCCTCAAACACAAATACATACAGAAACTAAATATAGGGTAATTTTTTAACCTTATGGGATTCTAAAGGAAACAAATGAAAAACCACTGACTGATAGGAGAGACTAGCTAGTGCACATATGAAAAAACATTTAAGGAATAACTTTAATCATTGATTTCTTCATATGGTCAATCTATAAATTTATCTAGCTCCTTTTCTTCATAGAGAAACACCAATGATTAAAGATAAAATGGCCATATATAACATCTCATACCTCAGAAGGCATGCTAGCATATAACTAAATAATTGTAAGTTAATGGAAAACACACAAAGACCCATGGCCAGAACTATGGAAGTTTAAAAAAAAAAAGAAGCAAAAATGTATTGGAGTAGTGTAGTGAGTTAACCAACAAGCAGTCACATTTGGATTTAATCATAATCCAAACTGTAGTCCTTAGTACAAGCAGGGGTTTAAAATGCATAGAATATAAAGAATAGAAATGAAGGTATTTAAAGGTCTCTGCCATATGAAAGAACTCCCACAATCAACTGAAGTAATGGAGATACAATAGAGCTTGTTAACGAAATTGTAAAGGCAAAACTAGTATGGAGGAAAACCAGGTTTTTGCCCATGGCTTTCTCTGTGGCCCTTTCAAGCTATTTATTTCAAATAAATAGCAAGTGTTCCCATGTGAGGGAAATTGCCCCCCAGGTATCATTATGGAGAAATGTCCCTGGCTCTTTACCTTGAAGTTCTCTTTGATTCTCTTCTCATTGAAGCTCTTGGCCAAAACCACCACACCCCTCTGTAGCTGGTAGCGCAGGGCAACCTGGCCTGGAGTTCTGTTGTGATTCTTGGCAATGGTCTTTAAGATAGGTTCCTCCAGAAGGTATGGGCTATCACTGCTTACCCTGAAAAAAAAATGCAGACAGATACTTACAGAGATATCAAATCTGGAATATGTTGCTCCCTTACCTATATTCCCAGACCTCTGAGAAGTACAATATAGTATAATTAAAGCAGAATTTTGTGTTCATAGAGATTTATTTTTATTGTAGCAATAGTCAGCAACTAAGTTACTCATAAATAGATGCTCACCTTACTAGACCTGGATGGAGGTGGGTGGTCCTTGGACTTCCCACAGGGCAGGGAACCCTGATTGCTCTTTGGGCTGATGAGGGAGGGGGACTTGGTTGGGGGAGGGGG